CACAGTTGAAAATCCAAATTGCTTCTAAGCAAAGCCCCAATAATAAAGCTGAAATCCGTTAAGCTTGTGATGTTTGCCACCATTTAAATCTGATTAAAATCATTCATGACACCACTAAGCCTAACAGTCAGAAAACCCTCCTGTCAATTCCGATGTTTCCCAGTGTAATCCAGACCCCCTTCTTTCACCGAGCTGTCAGCTAAAGGGAACCATAATAAGAGATTATAAACCTAATCCAGCTTCCTAAGCTGTTTTTAACCGGTTTCTTTAATCACATGCTATCGTTCCCTACGGAGTAGCTCTCAGGTGACAAAGATGTTCATACAGCCTTTAATGCTCGCTGAAGGTATCTTGGATGGGATCCCATCACACCTTGCCTGGGTGAGAGCGACCAAACCGAGACACATGGGGACAGCGGGGTGCCAACCTTGGGATGACTGCAGGTGGGGATGGAGGTGCAAAGGATGCTCAGCAGAGAAAAACTTCCACGGGGTGCAGCGATTCCTGGTAAAGCTGCTCCTCCAGCCAGTGCTCCTCTCCCTGAAAATGCTATGGAGGAATGAACAGTGGGGAAATGTAATGAGGTGTAAAATCCCCAAGTCTTTACCTGACCACTGTAAGGCAGAACAGGTTTGGTTTGCACTGTAGAGAATACATCCTCCCTTTTATCAGTTTATCAGTTTATTTCATAACTGATCATTGATACAGTACAGCTTCCCTGGTAACTTAATAATGGAGCAAGCGTTTACATATTGAAGATAAGGCAATAGTTAGCTGCTACAGTGCAATTAGATTGTATCTGCATTGAGAGGTTAAAACCCTCTGCTACAGAGCACATCTTTACTGGAAGCCTTGTGCTTGTGTTACTGAGAATTGGATGTGGAATCTAATTTTACTTGGAAATCAAATGCTTCCTCCTTGAGTGGCATTCCTGCACGGCCACCTGGGAGCTGCTGGCTGCTCAGAGAACGCCAGTTACAGGTAAATAACCCTCACGTTTTCTTCTCATGAATCCAGTCTGCTATTACAAAAAGGGAGATGAAAGCTGAGAGGCTGGCAGTGCGATGCTCATCCCTTTTACCAGCACTGAATACATCTGAGGTCTGATTTAGAGGGAAGCTGGGAAAGAAGACATTTAAGGACAGGCACGCAGTGCCAAGTCATGGCAGCATCCCTACAACAGCAGCATTACTTTGCTGCAAGCTGAAGTTCTAGCACAAAATCCCAAGCAGGGCAGGACATGAGCACCCCAGCAAGCCCTCCCTGCAGTCACCAAGCAACGAAGTGCACAAAAGCTGCACAAGAGGATGCATCAGCAAGAAGGAAGCTGAGGCACGAGGACTGCCCACCACACTGCAAAAAGCACTGAACTGTAAATGCCCAAAGCCCCACACAGGACCGATGGAGCTGGGCAGCATTCCTTCCCTCTGTGCACCACGGATGGGCTGTGCTGAGCTACGCACGGCTGAGGCTCCAAATGACTGCAGAGCCCCAGGCAGCACCTGAAGGCCTGGGCTTCCCTCGGGCCACGGGAAAAGCCAAAATACATTCCAAGCCTGGAACAGTTTGGGATGGATTTTCTATTTCCCATACCAGCAAATAAAACCTCAGCATGGGCGGCTGCTCCCATCGATCAACCCAAGCAAGGATGAGAAGAACTTAACTGCTGACCAGAGCTTTGCTGAAGCCGCAGAGAAGTTCATCACTGACTTCAAAGCAGTTTAGGATCCTCTCTCCAGGGCATCCTGCTCTGAAACATTCCCCCCACGTAGGCAATGCTGACACACGACCGTAAATCAGGGAAGCCCATCCTTTCACACACATAACGTTCCTCTTTGTTTGCTTTGAAGAGAAATCCAAATGGCTGTGAGCACATCTGCTGCAGTGCTAATGGCTCCTGATCATCTATTATTGAGTGTTTGACACATTTACAGTCAGGGCTATTGCTTTATGCAGGGAAGGGAGAATTTTTAATTTAGGGCTCATTGCAATCTCAGCTGCCCCAGAAAGCCCTGGTTTGGATGCTCCCAGCACTGTGGGATGGGGGGAGGTGCAGCAGCAGCACAGCCACAGCCTGCAGGAGGATGTTTGCACACAGCTGGACGTTGGCTTTACTGAACCTATTGCCCCTCGGCCCCATAGCAGGGTGGTCCCACTTTATGAACTCCTGTAATTACACAAATCTGGGCTCAATCCTGGTCTGAATAAATCATTGAGCAAGATTCCCACTGACATCACCATGCTAAAATTCCTCCTTCCAGTCTCTGCAATGCGCGTAAGGTTGAAATTCACACCCTGCTGTGCACCTCTCTTGCCTTTCAGACATTTTGGGGATATGCTGCTGTTAGCAGTGTGCCACACCATCACTGCTCTCACAGAACTGGTATGGAAACAAACCAGGATCATCCATGCAGCTGCTGTGCACCCACCCTGACTGCACAGCATCTTTAGAAACAGTCCCACTGGGAGAGCCAGGGAGGCACCTTCCAGCCCCATTTTGCATCCAAGAGAGAGCAGAATGTGGAAAATTCTCTGCTGCATCCAAGATTTCAAGGGGAAAACTCAGACAAGCTCGCTACAGGGAGAAGACACAACGCACACCTCTCAACTCTCTGCTCCTCCTTCTTTACATTACGATTCCTGCAGCACAGCCAGCTGCTGAGCAGCTCTGCTGAAGGTCTGATAAGCTCATGCTCACCCATAGCATGCACTTCTCTGCATCAGATGCCAAACCTTCCCCATCCCTCCACATCAAAAGTGTGGAGAACCGGTCTGATTTTTCTCTTTACCTCTACTCCATTTAAAATAGATTAATTTATTGACTGTAGAAACCCAAGGTCACAAGAGCAGGCAGTCTGAGCAACACCAAAATGCAGTATTTCAATACTGTCCCAGCCAGGGAAAGCTACCGAGGACTGACATCAGTAATACCGGTGTTTCATACACCCCATGATCCCACAGCCCACACTCACCAGCAGCCTGAGAGCCCAGAGGCACAGCAACCCCCTGGAACTCCCCATCCTAAAACACAGCAATGCCTTTAACCCTCAACAAGCAGCAATCCCATGAGAAACCCAGCTAACCCAGCACATAGACCTGATGCCAAGCTGACCACAAATGAAACATATCTGAGTTGAGTTGACAGATGTAAATCTTTCTGTCGGAGATGATACAAAATGAAAGAGCACTTCTTACTCATTCTTTTTTGAGGGGGAAAAGAACAAACCCTAAGCCAGCTATTTGTACAAAGCACTCAGAGAAAAAAATAAAAATAAAGAAAAAGAAGACCAAATCACAACTATTTTAAATTCTATCAGCCAGCCTTGTGCACTTGGAGTAAGGTTTGCCACCCATACCATTCTGCTTCCCTATGCTGCTGCTTCAATTCTTGCAAGAAAGCTGCTGCTGGGCTAATTATAGAAGCTTGGATGGAAGCTGTGTTGAAGGCAGCCTGACAGAACCAGCTGTTAACATTACAGCTGGAGCCCCAGGTAGCTGTGAGCACGCAGCCTCAGCTGGCAGAGCTGCATGCCCTGCAGCCAGCAGTGCCAATGCCCCACTGGGCCAACTCCAGCTCTCCCATTCAGACCTACACATTCTCACCTGCTGCTCTGGCTGCCTACGTGCTTTAGGGAAGCTGAAGCCAGCAGCACGTTGCTCTGCACTCCTTGCTCTTTCTTGGACATCAGCTATCTGTAACAGGAATGCTGATTTCCCCCACCCCAGCACTGGGTCACTGCAGCACTCAGGGTTCCTGGAGAGCACAGAGCATTTCCCAGCCTTTAACCACAGCCCAGACAGAACAGCAGAAAAAAAAGTCAAAATACACCAAAGGTATTTCTAAAAGAAAAGCTTTTGCATTTGCAGCTTTTTCTGTTGTTTCGTGCTGTTGGCACTGCATGCTTTCATTTTAGCAACGTAGGGAAACGGCATAGCACCTTCCTTTGATTTTAATGGAGCTTTCATTAGATGGCATCACATTTTTAGAGGGGCTGCCCTGTGTGAGAATCAGCACTCAGCAGCACCGACAGAAAGCAGCAAAAGGCTGAGTCAGTCTCTAGGCGCATGACATCGCACTGCCCTGCCAAAACACAGCCCGCCTGGCACCGGGACACGCAGCGCAGGCACATCCCTGTCACCAGGAACAAAAAGACGACAGCCGTGCTGTGATCGCATCCTTCTCCTCAGTCTGGCTTGCTAAACAGCTCTTTGATGCGTCTTGACTGTGCTGCAGCACGGACCGTGTTTGATGTTTAAGCCATTTGTATTGCAAAGCAGCTGCTCCCCGAGCCAGGGCTGTGCAGACTGCTCTCCAACAGCCCCAGCTCCACACGCTGTCCCGGCTGGACCTGCTGCTGATGTCTGGCTGGAAACCATATGCAGTGCTGCTTTACCTTGCGGATGTTTTTCTGATGGATGCTTCCCCTGTGAGCCCAGCCGGGCACTGTGTGCTCTGCACAGAGGAGGTGGCAGGCGAGGTGACCTGCCTTGTGCCACACTGCCCTTCTGCTGCCCAAAAGGAGCAGTGGCACAGCACGCGGAGGAAGGAGCAGCAGCCACCATTTGATCCGAAGCAATGACTGCATTTCCCTCAAATCAAAGAGAGGATGGGGAAAGGTTTCCTGGAGCAGGTGCTGGGGAGGTGCTGTGTAATGTTAAATGCAGGATTAAACCAGGAAGACATATAAAGGAGACTGAGCATTGGCCAATGGCAATGCAGATGCTGTCATGGCCAGGACACAGCACGAGATGCAGTGTCTTCTGCCTCCCCCACAACATCCCCATCACTGGGTGCTCCCCATCCCCGAAGCACCAAGCAGCAGAGATACCAACACTTTCAGTCCTGCTGGGGAAAAATGCTCAAAAATAGCATGCTTTTCTCCCAAATCACAAAATACCAGATCTGGGCTCCGAGAAAAACAAACACAAATCACAGAGTGCCACCATCAGCTCTGGTAGCAGCTGGGCCAGCAGGAAGGATGCGGACCAAACCCGCTCACCAGCACTCCTCTTTCCATCAACATTTTGTCCAGCAGTCCAGGCATGGCCATGGAAGAGCACATGGGCTCTGAACAGGCACTGTGTGTTTGGTGCCATGTCCAGCAGCAATCTCCAGGGCTCAGGAGGGTGCTCCCAAGGCCAGTGCCTGTGGAGCCTGGCTCCCAGCATGTCACCTTCCAGCCACCCGCAGCTGACGTCATGCCAGAGAACAGAAGCTCTCTGTGCCTCTGGCTGCTCTAGAAGGAGGCTTCACAAGGCTGCTTGCTGGAGGGATGTTTCTGCTTTAACCCGCTCCTGACAAGGGCACACCAGACTCTGGTAACCTTGATATTCAACTTGGAAAAATAAAAAATAAAGCTCTAAAGTAGCTGCATTGTGTTGGCAGACATTCAGGCTTTGCAGTTTCAGTACAGACACCCACATACCCATTTCTGCTGAACATTCTTTGATTATAATCTTGCTTAAGCAAGAGCACTTTTTGCACCTCTGCACCAGGTAGAAATCCACGTGTAATGCTTGCCCTCAAAATGCAAACAGTGACATCATTTGCAAAACAATTGCACTGTCTTTGTAGGGGTTTTGTCTCTTAGCTTGCACTCCAGCATCTCTCCATTGCTCCAGGTGCATTTTCTACTTTCTATCAGTCAGAGACTGAGCAGCCAAGATGATCTTACAGACAATGGCAAGATCGGAACAGAGATTTGTAATAAGATTTTGCTGAAATCCAGTAAGAGCCCAATAGCGGAAGCAGCTGCTGGGGATTTACTGGAAACCATGATTTAACAGAAAGCAGTAGTGATGCAATCATGATGTGTGCACCAGCACACACTGCACCGTCATGTCTTCCTGTCACAAAGCATCTCCTCCTCTGTCCAAATCTTAGGCACACCGAAGTCTGCATAAGGCTCCAGAAAACATCGTGCTGCCCTCATTCGTGCTGCTTTTCAGCAGCAGACCTCTTTGTATCTCAGTCTCCACGTTCATAAAGGACCTGCTCACAGGGATGGCAGAGGGAAGCTAGAAGCACCAAAAGCACTGGGCTGGGATGGATGCTCTGCAGACCACTGAGCGCAGCTCACCTTCCTGCTGCACTGCAGCCATTCCTCAGCCTGCACCAGGAACACAGGATTCATCAAAGAAGGACAAGAGTGGAATGTGCTGGAGCTGAGCTCAAAGCTGAGCTCTAATTCTTAAGCCTTTCAAGCATCCGAAGGGAGTTTCATCCATTTTGTGAGTAACATCAGATAACGGTGACATTAAAAACCAGCCAGAGCAAAGCAGCAGCTCCACTTGGAGGCTGGTCAGGAGAAATAAACTAACTGGTTTCTTTGTATTGAAAATTCCTCTCCATGGGCCAAGACCGAGGCTTGCTAAAGCTTTCTGACAGCTCTGCTGGCCAATCCGTCCTGCATGCACTGAGATTAAATAAATATTTGCCTTCACAGAAGCTCCTGACACACTCAGGTTTTTGGATGGAGACTACAGATGGAGCTAAGTTGTACCTTCAGAAATTCAACTGCAAAAAATGGCAAAAGAGCCCATTGTAATCAGGCTTTTCCTAAATTTCTCTCTATATAATGTAAATCAAGAGTCTCAAGTTGCTGGCATTACGGGAAACGTGCCAGCATAAAACCAGAAGAAAGGGGAAAAGCTCTTAATTTGCATAGTTCTGTTCTCTTCACAGACACGCAACAAGGATGGGCTTTAAAGACTGCTTATAACTTAGCATCGTTCACATGGATTTGAGACCTTTTGGGCATCTTCCACCCAGCTCACAAATGAAAGGTGGGCAAATGAGAAGCCCGCTAATTTACTGCCTGCATTTTGAGGTTGTGAATTCACTAAACTTGGCCATTTTCTATAAGAACCTCTGATGACAAAACAAAGACAAAAGGCATTCCACGAGGAAACCCCCAACCACCTTTCCTTTGTTGCTGCAGTCATGAACAGCTGCAACCCTGCTGTCTTCCTTCTCCTCCCTTCTCTCTGCTCCTTATCTCACAAAGAACCACAGCTCAGAGGACACAGCCCTGCTCAGGTCCCACCATGCATGCCAAACCAAGGGGCTGGGCATGGCTCACACAGCACTTCAGCCCCTGCACTACCTTCTCCTTCAGGACTGTGTGCATCGGTGTCTTAACAAATGGCATCTCCAGTGATGCTTTATTTCCTTGCTCTGATTGCTCCTGAGGCTGAGAGGAATGCTGGAGCGCAGCGTCACCATGGCACTGCTGGCTTGTAGCTGAAACGAGGAAGTGACAGCAGAGGATGAGGTTTGTCAGTTAAAATAATTGGCTTTAAACTGCAACACCGCTCGCTGCTTTGTCTGATCAGGCCCAAAATAAACTGCATTACATCAGTGCAGGTCAGGCTGAGCTAATAAGGGTGTCTTTCTCACAGTGAGGAGGAACACATTCACGTTCTGTGCGTTTTCTCTTTGCAGGCAGAGCACCCTCCAACTGTGCAAATGCTGGGGGAAAATTAATTCAGATTGCTTCCCAAGTTATGCAAGAGCCACATAGAATAGAAAGTGCACATTAACAGATTCTACTATTTTAGGGCGTTCTTTTATGTCTCGTAATTTACTCTGCTATCATATTTGCAGACAAATAGAAAATAACACATAAGCAAAGCAATCCCTGGGGTGTCCTGAGAACACAGTGAGGTGGACAGACACCCTCAGACAAATGGCACTCCCTGTAGCCACCCGGATAGCTCACCCTTCTCAGCCCTGAATAAGGACAACGAGATCTACTCCATGCCATAAATACATGGGAATACAAAGCAGCAGAGGCCAAAGCTAAGTGGGGCTGCAGTAACACAGCCTGCAGGCAGTAGGCCACCACCCTCAGATACATACCTACCAACCAAGACCTTTGCCTTCCATCTTCAGTCTGAATTCCTCCACTGTTTTTATGGGGCCTATGACAATTTGCACCAGCTGAGGAGCTCCAGCCTCCCATGACTAAAGAACGAAAGCAATGATGCTTGCTAGTATTTACATCCTTCCTCATTGCAAACGATGCATTCCCATCCTGAATGGGAAACAAACGTCTCAACATGAAAGATACACAACAGCATCTGCTGTGAGTAGGGGAGAACTGCCATTCACCAGTCCTAGCAGGATGCAATCATAGTGGCATACAGGCTTGGTAGCAGCATGCTTTAACTGTGAATCTGCTCCTGTTATTGACTATCTGCAAAATTAACAGCAATAGGAGTCACTGGCCTATTTATAAGAAATACATGGGAGCAGCATTTGCAGCAAAGTTGCAGAAAGCTGCACTCGGTGAAGCTGCTGCTTGCACAAAGTTCACCCCATGCTCGCCATCTGTTCACACTGTGCTGGAAAGCAACTACACTCCCATCTGAGCCCGTAAATCACCACTGAACTACCTCAATGACCTTATTAAATAACAATACATGGCATAAATAATCTCTTAGCAGTATACACATCTTGTAAATTTGCAGCTCACTGGTGAGCCACTGCTCTCCTGCGCTTGGACTCTTTAAGAAGACCAGTGACTCAGGCTCTTTATCCCCAAAACGAGATGATTCTGCCTTTGCTTAAGTGTAAATATTTTCAAGTATTTGGTCCAATGATTCTTCATATGGCTTTGGCCACTACTGTCGTTAAGACACAGCCCAATCTGCTGTTGCTCCCTGTAGCCATGATGTTCACCTGGTTCTCTCACAGCATCTCCACCTCAACAGAACAGAGATTCACAACAAACTTGGGAAGAGGACAGCACCAAGGGCATCCCTGCTGGAAACAAGCGCAGGGATCAGACCCATAGAGAACAGTCTGCTCAGTGTATGCAGCTTTGGCAAGGCCAGGGGAACACTGCACTTGACCTGCATGGTTTCCATGAACATCCAGGACTTACCCAAATTTACGCCACATTACAGAAAGACACGACCAATGTTTTCAAGAAAAAGATGCCAACTCCCTTCACACAAATTGGCCGTTGCTGGAGATACCCATGAGCTCCGTCTGGCTGCACTAGCCATGCTCAGCCTGGAGATAAGTGCTTTCCTGAACCTAACTGTAAAGTTGGGGCATTCTTCCTGACAGGAGTTACAAGATTTAACAGCAAGTATACAGCAGTGCTCCTGTTTCATTTGCTAAAGCAAAGATCCAAAGCTGGGTGCTCCTAGCATCCTGCTGGTAAATGAGACAGGTCCACCAGAAGCCAAAGCCAGGTTTGTAGGACCCAAGGGCTCCCTTTTGTTTCCTTTTGGCCCCACACACATCCCATTCTCCTGTCTATGGCCTGAGATGCACTGTATCAGCTGTACCTTTACCAATCTATAAATCATAATGCTCCAAACCTAAAGCCACTGTTCTGTTTTGCTTCCTCCATACCTTCCCTTGGTTAAAATAAACCCATCTGATGAAGAGCAATCAAAAGCACTCAAATGAAACAACTTTCAGCAAGACATTCAGAAGGTATTGCTATAACTGCTGCCAATCAGTGGCAGGGGAAGACATCCAAACCTGGAGTACCAAATCCAACCTCAGAGCAACTAATAGCACCCTTTGTTTCTAGAGAAGTCAGTGCCTGTGCTTCATTGAACTCCTGGAGAGGGGACAATTAGCTGGAGACTGACGGGAATTGAGACAGTTCATTTATCAGAAGGGATAAAATCAACCTCAAACACACTAAAGTGAGGGTCTCCAAATCAGTTTTACTCTGTGCTGTTGTACAACAAATGCATCAGCAGCATGAGGAAAACAACAGCGCGTTAATCGTGATTCCTGGTGTGTAAATAATGCTTTGCCTCATAATGCCTGGCTAGGACAATCAAATTATTTAGCTCTAATAGGAGAGCAGAATTAAGAACTCCAACATAGAAGAGGACATACCTAAGAATCGATAGTGGACCACCGAAGCATTTAATCACTGTTTTACTAATCTTCCTGCACTACCTGAACTCACACCAACTCCTCGCGCTAAAATCAATGGTGCTAGCACCCTCATTAACAGCACCTCCTCAGGAGGAATGAAATCATCAGAGATTGAAAAACTAAGCCATGGCAGAGGAGCTGGAGGCTGCAGCTGCAAGCAGTGCACATGCTCGTGTCCATAGGCTTCCTGGGGGAGCAAGGAACTGTTACAATTCCTCCTTTGGAATTTGCACTGAAATCTGGGACTGAGGGAGAGCAGCTGTGACTGCAGGTACAGCAGCACATCCCTGAGAGCTGACATCTGCAGCAGGGCCATGGTTTGCAGCCATGGCTCTTCTCTGGGGTGAGGATTGAGAGCTTGCTTGAACACAGCTCTGCCCACCGCAGGGATTTCTGTATGAGCAAGGTGTCTTTCTGCTTCCCAGCTCCAGTTCCACTGCCTTGCATCGCCTCCCATCACACTGGGCAATTTCCTGTTGGTTCAGGGGCTATGCAAGCACCTGGGGGCAGATGCGTAAGGGCCAAGCACTGCCTCTGCATCCCACACTGCTCAGTCTCTCACTTCTATCCCTCACCAGCAGCTAATGAGTTTGCTGCATCCTCCTGGCAGGCTGCCCTACGTGATCTCTTAGTCCTGACCTGCACATCTGACACTCTCATCCTGGGACTCATTTCTCCCAGGTCTGTCAGTTCGGCTGCAATATCTTCTGCTTGGCATCTACAGGCTCCAGGCAGCCTCTCCCCAAAGGATCTTCTGCAAGCAAGACACTGAAGTTCTGACCAGGGCTTCATCAAGCTGCCTGG